GGGGGGGGTGGTTGTAAAAGGGTTTTTCTTAGTTGGGTTGTTTATTTATAGGACTGAAAGAAGAAAGAAGATGATGCTTAATTCTGAACTACTTCATATTGCTTTATTAAAATACTTCATATTGGCTCCAAGTGTAACTCCATTGTTCATATCCTAGCGAGTGAGAACACTATAAATCACACTAACACAATACTGCGCTCTCCATGAATACATTATCCTTATTGTTTTTAGGCCTCTGCTTTTGCATATTTATAAATCCTTGCCACGATGCCATTACCTTTCGATTTAGATGGAAAAGTTAAAAATAGCAATGACAAACACAAACTTACCTCCACAGTGAGCTCTCAGTAACAGCCCCCAGGTTGAAGTCATACAGCTTAGTCAAGATCAGGATCACCTACAACATAATAAAAACAGACATGCTTAATTACATGCCAACGCTTGCACTAAAAAGCTTTTGCATACAGTAAGTGCCTCCCCAGCATGCACCTGTCTATACCTAATGGCGTGGAATGAATACAACATGTCTGCTACATCCCTTTACTAATAACTACCAGCGTCATACAGCATGTTATCCCAATGACAAGTGATCCTCATGTTGTCAGGAGATGTCAGTCTGCTATTGGAAGGAACTAAAGAAAACCCATGTGTGCTGTCAGAAATTGTGTCTGTCCTTCATGTGGAATGATACCGACATAACAGCAACATCTTATCATAATTGTGCACTGAACTATAAAAAAAGAAATGCAGTCAGCGGCTGCCGCGAACAATCCTCTCTCCTTTCCTTTTTCATCTGTCTTCCTTTTACCTTCAAATTAGGGAAGTAGCTGCAGGTCTCAAATGTGGTTTTTGGAAGATGTTATGTCTCTTATTTTACTCATTGGATGACGTCCAGTTCCCGTTTTGGCTAAATGCTTTTGCGTGTTCTCTGAGGGTGGTTGGAAGATGTGTTTCTGGGAAAACAAAAATGTGGCCCATAAAAGTCTGCCAAGGCACAGAGGGCAGAGTGAAATGGTGTGCAAGCGAATTATTGTCACTCCAATGGCATTATAAATGACTTCCCATGGGGACGCTCATAACTCAGGATAAAGAGGGGGGTTGGGGAAGAGAGGGAGGGCAGGGCATGAAGGGAGGGAGAAGGAATGGTAGATTATAACAATCAGGGAGCAGGAACATAGCATAATATGACAAATTCTATATAAAGCCTGAAAGATAGGTCAAAAGCTCAATTACAGCGAGTTTAAACACATTAACCTTATGGGACCCATGGAAGAAGTCATTAAGCCGAGAAAAGCCACACAAGACTCGGAGGAACAAAGACGTGCCTCTAAGCCTGCTTTGGAAATGTTAAAAACCCAATTGACCCACAATTTAGCCATCAAATGGCCAATGTGCATGACTGGGACTATCTGCATTACAGGTTAATTAACCAATCACACAGAGAGATAAGCATTTGCATAACTAAATGCACCATGTCTGCAAGGTCCAACGCTGGAGTCTGAATCAATTTAGAGAGCCGACTTAGTTAAGTGGCTGTGATGTTGGACCTAATTGCCTGCTTTGAAAACTACCGTAGATACAAGAGAAAAACTCAGCAAAACTGTCGATCGTTTGTTTCTTCACTTCTCTGTTGCTAACAGCAATGACTCTGTGTCATGGGACTGTATAAATAATACAAGGTAAATTGAATCTTGAATTGACTACATCAGTGTCAAACTAGAAGCGCCTTATTCCCAACCAAAGGGATTCAAATACTGCGCACTGCAAATTAACTGAGTGAACAACGAATAAATGTTCACAGTTTTATGGGGTTCAATCACTCGAACAAGGATCCAATTTAATCAAATGCTAACTAATTTAACTGAGAACGTAAAACAACGTCCAAAAATAGCCCCGAATGGCAGAAGTTGATAACAAAGCCCCTCAGCACCCGAGCTGTAATTGTCATTAGAAGCTCCGTCTTAAATGTTATTAACGTTTTTGTGCGGTCGGCTCATTAACAAAAGCTGACCCGTTGATATGGGTCAGGGAAGATCTACCTCGGGGACCAACAGACTAGTGAGGCAGATGACTGCTTGGCTGATTTGTCCCTAAGTGGATACATCAAGGGTACATCACTGAAAACTGTGTGTCCCCACGTCTTCAAATTATTGATAGCTGAGCGTCAGGGCTCAAGTCAATAAGGAGCAATTACTTACATGCAAATGCTGAAGGAGAGCACATGCACATCAGATGCATGGTTTAAACTATAAGGACCCAACAAATATAGAAGAATATTAAAACTCAAATTCTGAGAGTTTGTGGTGCAGCCCTGCACTTATGTAAATACTGGGAACAAACAAACACAAAATGGTTTCCAGAATTATTTTCGAGCCTTCTAGCTAAATATAATTTTCCATGCATATCGTCGCTCACTTGCATACATGAAATTAAGTAAGGACCCTGGAAGGCCAAAAGCAGTGCATTTATTCATGTTTATGTTTTATTGATGTGAGCAAAGAGAGCTTTGCCCCGGGAAAGTCAACCAATCATTTTTCGGATTGGCGCTCCCCCTCCGAGGAGTTGGGTTAGTCATCCTTTTATCATAACGTTTTATTCTTGCTGCTTTCTTTCCCTCTTTTGCTTTATTTATTTGTACTTTCTTTCTATCATTCTTTCAATCTCTCTGTCTTTTTTCCTTTCTTAGTTTTAAAAACAGGCTCTGCAGGTATACTGTTTTCTGCTGTTTATATATTTCATAAGGAACTGCACTTAGAAAAATAGGGAAACAAACATTAAAGGTGAAGTCACAAGCGGTTTGGCCACGGAAAGGTATCAACTCTTGAAGATGGCTGCATAGACAGCCTCCATGGCAACAAAGGATTACATCCATGATGTAATTGTGAGATAATGCATCGGCTTGACACACGTCTCATCCACACACAGACCTACACGCTACACTTGCACAAGCATATTCACACACACAGATTGCTGGAGCAAATCAAATCTTTGGAAATGACTAATGACATATCCATCTTTTTTTTTTTTAAAAGAGAAATTCTCAAATGTTTAAAGTGCTTCAGTGGGACGTGAGAGGCATTTCAACCCCATGTTGGTGGGCAGAGGTTTTTCTACACAGCTCGCAATTTAGGCATGAATCATCTCTATGAACTGCAATATGGCTATTAAGAAATATGAGAAAGACTGTTGCTTCACATCAGTGCAGTTTTACTGTACTCGCCAACAACACGCTCCGAATGAAATCTGTAGCCCTCACTAAAGCATCTTCAAGATGGCAGCTTTCAAGAACATGCCTGCTTAATTGGGTAGTCAAGGGAAACAAAAGAGTCCCTTACTATAATAATCACACCTCCAGATTGCTGTTTCTTTCCTTCTTAGGAGTTACACACAACGGGAAGTAGTAGCAATCTTCAGAAATACCGCCACTTTCATGTAGCTCTGGCACTGTTTTTGAACCGAGCCAGAGGGGCCAAATGAAGGATCCAAATTAATTTCCAAGGGACCCCCAAAGTTGAGAACAGTGAGTGATGTGAAGTTCTTTGTAATAAAAGAAAAAAAAGCATTGGCACATTCTTCTATTTCCTTTACCTTTAGCACTCAGTGAAAAGTTCACAGCTGAAATGATACACATTTACATTCTCATGAATACACATAAGCTTCTGTATATTGTACAGTGGGGTAAACACAATCATACACAGAGCCATCTCCCGGGAGTAACCCTTGTCTATTTACCTCCTCTGAGTATAACCACCACATCAAAGTGCCTGACAATTCGCTGAAATGTGTCGACACTAATTAAATCATGTCTTAAATATAAGCTTTCATAAGCTGGCTTTTACCCAAATATGCCATCGCTCCTTGTCAGCTGTCTGTGGGTCAGTGTTTGTCACCTTATTAGATTTGATAAACAAAGTTAAAAGGTGTGTATCGAATCTGTCAAAAGATTTAATTGAAACTTAGCCTTGAGTGCAGGTGTTCTTTTATTTACCGGGAGTGGCTAGATTTAGGTGTATAGTAAGCGGCTTTTTTTCTGTGCGAGTTTTTTTGTTTTCTAGGGAGTTAGACCATGAGGATTATAATACAAATAATATTTTAATAATGTATAATAATTATGAGAATAAAAAACAGAGAGTGCTTCACTGAGACAAGTTAGCATGTTAAATAAACAACACACCCAAGTTCTGCGTAACACAGACTAGTGTGCTGATAAGAGCTCATTACATATTTGGTGTATATGTAGACCAGTAAGTAAATTAAATGGTAGTACAACAATTTACAATGTTGTGTCAAATTTAAAGAAACCTATCAACAATAAAGATCAAATTAAAAGAAAATGTAAATATGTTTAACTATCAGCAGTGCTTACCATTACAAAGAACAAATCAAAGAAAAACAATATAATTCAATAGTTAAGACATCATCCTTACATCACTGATGATCGCATCCTAAAATGCGTACAGAATAAAAAACTCTCAGACAAAAATAATATTTTTGAGGGCAAATTGAGTCTGTAATGGGCCGGATTGGGGTGCTGCCCAGCTTTTACATAATTGTTGTATGTGTCCCAGCGTAAATTACCCTAAATTGATTCTCTGCCATTACGACTTTGAATAAGAAGCGGAAGAAGTGGTTTGGAAGAGGAAGCGGGGTGAAAAAGGTAGTGGGAAGAGCCAAGTCTATGAACTAATGCAGATCCACGGGGCCCCTAATGCATCCGGGCCATTATCAGACACCAAAAGCTGGCATATCAATGTGAGAGGAGCAAACTGGGACTCCATTGTTCACCTCACTACTCTGATTTTCTCTGGCCTGAAAGCAGACGCAATTCTGAGGACACAAACATAAAACCTGTTTCATTTGTTGTGGAGCTCATTACATCCTAAACTTCATTAACAGAATAAAGACAGAAGCCGAGGGCAAGAAATGAGAGGCTGTTTGAATCTTTAAATCAACAAGCTAATTAACGTCCCAGATCTTCTACACCCACTGACAACATGTGAGGTTTGAATTGGTCTATTACTTTTATGTTTTATATCTTGTTAATAATGAGGAAAAGCTCCCAAGCCAAACAGAAGAAAAAATATTGGTTTATGTCCTTTGTTAGGCCCAAAACCCACTTAATAGTTGAGAAAGTAATCTGTGTATAAAGTGAGTGTATGTGTCACAACACACCCAACACAGTGATATAAATGTTCTCTCTCATAAGATTAATATATTCATGCATCCATTAGAAATTATCGGAAGCAAACACCTGCGGAGAAAAGAAATACAGTATTGGTTGCGCATTTGCATAAATGTCTTAAAGGCTTGTCAGAGATGAGGACGAAATCAAGGTGCACTGCAAGTGGGTGAGGGGATAAAAACACAACATGTGGCTCTGCGACGACTCCTCTAAAG